CTTACGAATTCCATTAACAAGTCATACATCCGCAGTAATTTGGAACAGAGAAAGTACTACTACGTAGTACATGTTTGTATTTTCACCCATCCCCTTCTATTCTACTACGTAGTACTACTAGTACTTCCTTCAGATGTAGGCGCTTGCGTTGGTATGCATTTGCGTTGGGATCGATTGCGATGCCCTGCCTCACAATGCCCCTTGTTTTCTTGAGGGGATTGTGTCCATACTGGTAGTCCGAATTGGTAGGTTCATGCCATGTGTGTGGGAATTATGGCGTTTGCAAATGGAAAGTGGTCAAGCCTAAGCAGACATCATCAGAATTCGAAATCCTGTAAGTCACGGTTAAACATAGCGGTGTCATTAGGGTGATTTTGCAAATTGAAATATCCTTGTGAAAATTCCTGGTCCTGTACCTGAGGTCTTCATTTCATATGCAGTCAACAATGCGCAATCTAAAGCGTAGCTACACCATCACAACGAAGCTGAAGGTGCTAGGACTTTTGGGCACCGACCAACAAGTGTCTGGCATGATAAGCATTCCACGTCGCACCATCCGTACGTGGGTCAACCAAAAACGCGACATCCTTGCGTAAGACCGGAACAAAAAACGAATGAAAGTTGATCCAGGTGGGCGTCCCGAGGGTCTAGTTGACAATATTAACCAAATGCGAGCCCAAGAACGGGCGCTAACAACATCGCATCTCTTCAACTGGATCAAGAGGCACCAGGCGGCTTGGCTGCGTTCCTACATCGCACGCAAGAAACCTGGCACCGGGTACCAAGGGCTCCTGCGACTGCTGCAGCGCTTTTGTAGCCGCCATGGATTTAGGCGTCAACGACCCGGCAAACAGAAGCACAAACAATCCGTCCTAAACGAAGTGCGTGATGATTTCGCTGCTGAGTTCCACCAGCAGTACCACGGCTTTGGTCCCGATTGCGTCTACAACGTGGATGTGACCGGGTTCTACTATGACATGCCACCCAAGTACATCTGGTCTGCTCGCGGTGCCGACGCGAAGATATCAAATGGCATCAATGTAATCCTGCTCGACAAATTTCAGTCGCATGTGAATGATGCCTCGTACCAGATTGTCGAAGAAGAGCTAGGCAGCTTCCTGTCGCGATTCCCCCCAATGCTACGTCCATCTGTCAGCCACTGGATTTTGGTGTGATGGCTATATTCAAGCGTTACCTTCGGGTCGAGTGGCTCACCGAGGAGATGATCGATGGGGAGGACGGCGACGATTTCGACACCCCGACAGCCACTGAGAAGAGGAAATCGATGGTGAAACGTGCCATCGCCGCGTGGGGCCGTGTGACAGCTACCGAGATTCGCAACAGCTTTGTGAAAGCTCTACCATCTATTGAGGAGTAAATGAACATACAATGATTTACCCTTGTTGGCGATGTCATAACCTCAATCTTGATCGAATATAATTGTGAGTATTTTATAATTTTAGAAAAACTAAACTTGATTTTAGTAATGCAATACTCAAATTAATATAGTTTTGGGAAAAGCCTGACACTACCCGGGAATTGAACCCTGGCCCCTTCCTCTATCCTCTTGGATGCCGTCACACTAAACCGTTGCGCCACTACGTCAGTGCTACTACTATCTACGATGTTGGCTCGTAGTTACTGTCATGATTGGGATATGCCTTGTAAGATCGGATCTTGAGCAAGTTGGACTAGTCTAATTTTCCAAGCTCATCCACCTGTAAATTTTTTTATAACCTGCAATAATATAGCAATCGAACTTCGCAGAACGTTAGCCAATAAAATCGCGACAATTCCCAACCTCTCAAAGGCAACTGGTGGCGTATCCTCGGACTCCGGTAAGTGGCAAAAATGCAACCAATTTTTGGAAGTTATCCCCATCTGTTTCACTCGTATCAGTATAGTTTCTTCTATATATTCCATTGTGCCACACTGCGCCAGTTCGGGCAAGACAGAAAATTGAAAAATTCCCTCATTAAAATAGTTTTGACCCCAAATCTGTTTCAATAAGTGATCAATTGACTGTCCACTAGAATTGGCTAAGACATTCCTCCGCGAGGGCCGATACTAGAACCACATGTTGTGGAACCGCTTCGCCAATTGTAACGCGCCTGCTC